AGGTTTCCCTAAAACGATCTTTCAGTCGTATCTCGCGTTCTTTTTAAGAGTTTACATTTATTACGGCAAATTACATCTAAATAATTTCTCTACCTAAAAAAGCGAAAGTTTGTAAAATTTTGACCAGATTTTGTTGACAGTGACCTTAGATAATTGTCGTATTTATAATTTTATTCTAAGGTAACAAACCAAGAAACGTTCTTCTTAGCTATTTCCACTGATTTAATCCTCTTTAAGGTTATTTGTGAGGTCTTAATAAAATGTTCAATTCAGCATCAGTGATACTAATATAGACACTATTATTTTAGTCAGGTTTTATGAGAAGTGAGATAGTTATAATTAGGGAGTGAGAGGCCAAATTCTATGCATGAAACTGAAAGCTCTTTCAATTAGAATTCTTCATTTCTTCAATATATGCTTCGTCCCTCGTATCTTATTTAATCACATAACAGAGTACCATGATCGGGATAAAAAAAGAACTAGATAGCGAACAATCTTTTTTTTGTGATATCGTAATTATTTTGACAACGATGTGGCCAAAACGTACAAAAAGATGTAGACCTAATAAGTGTCTTGAACGGTAAATTAAAAATTATTTATACTGAACTAGGTAGCGGGTAATTCTTCTTTATGATATCATCGTAGTAACGATCTGGCCAAAATGCCGGTACAAGATATGGATCTTATCAGGTTTGTTTTAGAGTATGTATTTAGTGAAAGCGCTCTGACCCTATACATCGTTTTAGGGCCAGAGGCGAACTTAAATTGATTGCAATTTTCTACCTGCAGTTTAGTTACAAGTTTCTTGACGAACAGTCAACAAGACACTACAGATGTCACTAAGGAACTAATCCCTCCAACATTGATCAGATTACTTTATATCTAATCAGATACCAGTTGATGTTAGACTGTTGGAAGGCAGACCCAGAGGAGAGACCATCATTTAAACAGCTGGTAACAAGAATGGAAGAAATGATGACGAGGGACTCTCCTTACTTTGATCCGAATAAAGACTTATGAAAGCGATGCCTCCAACACTGAGACAAAACCCGAAAATGACCAGCTACTTAAGTGATTAGTGTTTAAATTAAAACGTTTCCAAGAGAAAGATGGTTGTGTAGTAACAAGGGAACTTGCTTTTGTTAGATGAATCTAATTTATTGGTACAAACTGTAGTCTGCGATTTGTCGTTTGATTTTCCAAACTTATATTCATAGTCCGGGGCAAAAGTTTAGAAAAAGTTGCAGGATAATTGTTCCACGGATACGTCCCTGCTTGTTTGAAGTGTAAGCCGTAACGTTTAAAATTATAGAAATATATACCGTGAAATTACCAACATAATCACATTTATGATCATTAGTGAATTTGAAGCTACTCTCTTTTTACCTCCACTGCACCGTGGGATGTTCAATAAAAAAAAAACCGTCGACAACATTTTTAGCGTTAGGAAAAGAGGAAAATAAATAAAGTGCATTTAAAGGGTTGCAGATTAAAACAATATTTCAAGAGACAGAGTGAAGCTCGCGTAGCGGTTGCAATAGATTATATACTTTACATAGCCTTACTTACTGATGTCCTTAATTTTATGAATTGCGAAGTGAAGACAAATGCCTCAAGCATCAAAGAGTATGACTTAACTGAGGGATGTTACCAGGAGTAAATTTTTGTAACTAGTTTTTGTGTTTTAAAACTTAAATAAACAGACAAGATCGACGATTAAGTGTTTTCCTTTAAAGCTTGATCTGATTGCATCCTATTTGAATTGGTCGACATTGTTCGCCCGTGGATTTTGTAGTGTTTCTGACAGCTGTCAATCACATTGTTCGGAATGCGCACGCGGTCCAAAAAAATAGGAGTTTTTTCTGTAGTCGGGGTATCGTCTCGCATGATGATTAGATATTGTTGTGTTTGCATCCAAGGTTTCAGTGTTTATTTTAGCATAAACACCACATCTGGCGACGAGAATCAAGTATAGAACACACAGAGAGCACTCCAAAAGGATCTAAAGGGATTTCCAAGCGATTTCCAAAGAAATTTCTAAAGCGATTTCCAAAGAGATTTCCGGAGCATTTTCCCGCGAAAACATTATGGCAATTTCTCCACCAAACTTCCCACCGTTGGAAGTTCACCTCGATGGAACTGCAGGCCTGAGATGGAAGAAATGGCTAGGATGATTCGAGAGATTAGCCATTCGAATGGGAATTTCCGATGACAAGCAAAAAAGAGCCCTTTTGCTGCACTACGGCGGTCCAGAGGTCGACGAGATCTTCGACACGCTTCAAGACGTCGGTGTAGACAAAGATTACAAAAAAGCCGTCGGGAAACAAACCGCTCACTTCTCTCTGCAAGTCAAAGTAACATACGAAGTTTCCAATTTCCAGCAGGCCAAGCAAAAGGATTGAGAAACCCTCCACTGTTTCCACACACATATGAGAAGCCTAGCGAAGACCTGCGATTCCGCAAATCCAGACAAAGAAATCAAAGAACAGATCATCTTGAACTGTGAGTCAAATTCCCTACGGCACAAAGCTCTGCGAGAAGACCTCGACTTATCTGGCCTCATGAAAGCTGGTAGAATTAAGAATTAGAACGGAATAGAATGAAACGAAATACAAGAAAAGGAGTTGGAAAATCACGATCAAACCGTAAACGTGGTAAAGTTTAACAAGAAAGGAACCTCAACACATCTCAAAGGGAAACAGCGCCATCAAAATCACCAGGAGTTACGCACTCGCTACGAGTCACGCAATCGCAGTAACTCCCGAGAAGACGATGGTAAATGTAGGAACTGTGGGGGACCATACCCCCACAAAGACTCATGCCCTGCGAAAAACAAGAAGTGCAAATCCTGTGGCAAACTAAACCATTTTGCCCGTGTTTGCAGAACACATCCACCTGAGTCAGCAAAACACGTCACGTTTGAAGACACGGTTGAAAATGACGAATATATTTACACGGTAGGCGGTGACAAGCAACAAACTTGCAAAGTCAAAATTGATGGGAAAAAAATGGAAATGATGGTCGACCCTGGCGCATCGGTCAATCTTATGGACGAACGCACCTACAGGGAGTTATACAAACGGAAGGTACCAGAAGCCAACAAGCGCAGAATTTTCTCCTACGGATCACCCACACCTCTACCTGTTCTTGGAACTATTGAGGACGAAATATTCGTTAACACCAACAGCACATGGTCGACCCTGCATTCCGGCAAAGGCGCTTCAGGAAATCTCCTGGGTTTTAACAATGCTACAGAACTTGGCGTGCTCAAGATCATCAACCAAGTCAAACCTGACGAGACCTGTCTCCAGTCACTCATTACTCAGAGATTTAGAAAGCCTTTTCGGTGGAATCAGCAAAGTAAAAGGAAAGGTCATCAAGCTTCACATTGACCCTGACGTCATATCCAAGCAACAACCACACCGTCGAATTTCCTTCCAAGTCAGAAAGGATGTCGAGATGGAGTTAAAGCGATTAGAAGAGCTAGACATCATCGAGACCGTGACAGGCCCAACGCCTTGAGTGAGCCTTATTGTCATAGTCCCCAAGAGGTCTGGTCAAGTGAGAATATGTGTAGACATGCGAGAGACCAACAAGGCTGTTAAACACCTGATGCCGACTATAGACGATCTGGTTGCTGACCTCAACGGAGCGACAGTTTTCAGCAAGTTAGACCTTTCGTCTGGATACCACCAACTGGAGCTGGCACCAGAAAGCCGCTGCATTACCACATTCAGCACACACGTCGGACTCCGAAGATACAAGCGCCTCATGTTTGGAATTAACGCAGCACCCGAGATCTTGCAGAACGCAATCGAGGAAATACTCACAGGCCTCCCTGGATGCAAGAATATCTCTGACGATATTACCGTTTATGGAAAAACTCAGAAGAAACATGATGAGAACCTCCGTGGCGTACTGAAACGGCTCCAGCAACATGGCCTGAACAACAAGTATGCGCCTTCTCGAGGAGTGAGATCAAGTTCTACGGACAGATTTTCAGCAAGAACGGAATCAAGGCAGACCCAGCGTGAAGATCAGGGCGATATGGACATGAGCAAACCAGAAAGTGTCAGCGAGGTGGTCTCTACTGGGGATGGCTCGTTACATCCCAGACTAGGCCACGATAATTGCTCCTTTACGGCTGTTAACCAAAAAAGACACGTCATGGCAGTGGGCCGACGAACAGCAACGAGCATTCGACAAGTTGAAAGATAGCTTGACCAAGAATCACGTGATCAGATGTCATACTTTAACCCAAGACTCAGACTGAAGTGATAGTCGACGCGAGCCCCGTCGGACTTGGAGGATTGTTGGTGTAGGATAGTAAAGTTCTCTTAGCTCAACTACAGCCCAGCGACGATCTCAAAGGCAAACAAGGCTTCTTGTAAAACTGAAAGACTTTGTTCTACTTGTGCGATAGAACTAGACAATCGAAGCAAGCAATTGAACTTTGTGACAATTAAACACGTTCCAGTTTATCGTTTTTAGCTATTAGAGATAAGTTGTTCAAGTCGATCTTTTAGATATACACATATCCAAGTATATAATCAAGAAGGGGAGAGATGTAGTGTTTCTGACAGCTGTCAATCACATTGTTCGGGATGCGCACGTGGTCCAAAAGAAAAGGAGTTTTTTCTGTAGTCGGGGTATCGTATTGCATGTTAATTAAATATCGTTGTGTTTGCATTCAAAGTTTCAGTGTTTATTTAAGCATAAACACCACAGATTTGACCATAATCATTGATTACATTTTTCAGGTCTTCTCTATGAGTGACTGGCCTGTCATTTCTCCTTACAGTATCACCCCTGAATCAACTGCTAAGGTAGCGAGAATAAAGGAAAATGATCATCAATCTAGGAAGCTCCTGACAGTTGAACAAATTCTCCTTATAAGTACCAGAGCAAATGTAAAGAGAACAGTGTGGAGAATATAAATGCCAATATTAGGATGTAAAGAGATTGAGAGGAACAACAAGGTAAGATAATAAAATATCCCTTTTATTCTTCACCAGCAAAGGTGGCACTATATACAATACTTACTATACGACTAACAGCAACCAACAACCTGGAGAGCTAGCAAATTCAAAGCTCTAGAAGAGACTTCTAGTAACAGAACTACGAAAATTATCAACTGCCATGACAACAGATGAAACTGAAATCTAAAGAAAATATTTCAAAATCAACCAAAATTCTCCCATCTCTCCATCTACTTTTAGTGAAAAATACTCAAGGGTGAATTGGGAAGGGGAGGGAGTGGGATTTGCACTCTAGCCACAATTTTACTACAGCTCCCTCTAACTGGACCCTCAAGACCTCCCCCCTCCTCCCCGTTTGCTTTTCCTAGCACTGTGTACGCGTATACATATCCTGCTTTCTAGGTTAACAGAAAACACTTCTCTCTCCATTTGCAAAAAGCTGGGAGACTGTAGTGCTGTATTCTAAGTTACACATTGTATTCTCTACCGTGGAGTCGATTCTGATTTTTCTATCAAAACGAGAATGTACTTGTTTTATAAATACACGTGCACCATGCAACTGCTCCCAGCTGCACGCAAAACATGTGCGGTAGCAATAGGGAAAAACATTAGAAAGACAAAACCTTTTTCACTAACCTCCACATCTGCCCCACTGACCTGAAAGGGGGGGGGCTCTCTTGGAATGTGTTTTGGAGAATTTCATTTTCCTAGTGTATTTTTGATGAATGGCAAACTTTTTCAAAACAGTGCGATTTCCAAAGGAAAGAAAGAACAATAACTGACGTACCCTAAAGACCAGTCCCCAAAGAAAAAAAAAACCCTGCCATGTACACGTTAGTGGAATCATTTTTGCCTTGACTGCAGTTTCAGTAAAGGTACCATAACCAAAGAAAAAAATGACAACCCAGCTTTGAATAGTTATAAGAATAGAATAGAAAGGAAAACCCTTTAAGTAATACATAAAGTACCAGGGTATTTTTTCTACATAGTTTATGCTAAACTTCAACAAATTACCTATAATTCCCAAACTAGTACATTATCACTACAACAATCTATATGGATTTCTTTAAAGTTAAGAAATTACCTATGCTGGGCTTCTTCTAATCATTGCTACTCCAATCAAAACAACAGCGCATTGCAGAGATGCTGATGTGTAAGGCAGATGGCATGTACAAGTATGATTGCATAGCAATTCATGGACTTTCGATGAATTTTTTTGAAACAAAACTCTACAACTAAGTAACAATGTACATGACTATGGAGGATAAAGAGGTACATTCACTACTCCTCAGACACTGAGCATTGAGGATATGCACATAAATGCACCCTTCCTCTGAGACAGTGGGCATTGAGGACAAGCAAGTACATGTACCACTCCTCAGAGACAGTGGGCATCGAGGATAAACACGTAGATGTACCACTCCTCAGAGACAGTGGGCATCGAGGATAAACACGTAGATGTACCACTCCTCAGAGACCATTAGGTATGACAAAGGAGGGGACATGAAACAAATTATTGGCATCTGCTTCACACATGTAATGTCAGCTTAACATCATGCCTTGCCTTTAAGTTCCATGTCATTACATTAAATTGATCCACATTATGAACTAAATAATGTAATGTAAATCAGTTGCCATAGGACATGCACATGCAGAACAAGTTGAATACAACTTCATTTAAGTAAGAAAGGAAAAAAGAAGACATAATTGTCACAACTACCATTTTGATAACGCTTTACTTCTACTGTACATATTAATTATAATTTGGCTGAGGTTTCATAAAAATATGGTGTGTAGACAGACATCAAAAGACATCATGTATTCTATAAGATAAATCACAAACATTGAAGCCTTTCATCCTTCGTGTTTAGGTGGAGTGTACCAACCTGGGAGGAGAGAAAATATTGTGATGAGAGTTTGGAGCTGATTACAGTCTAGTAGTGACATTTAATGATGCCATTGAGACAAAGTGGTCATTCAACATTACTAGTTATACCTCCAAACTCTCAAGAACTTATTTCATTATTTCTTTTTCAAGCTGCTACAAATTTTTGGGTAAAATTGGTAATGAGAATTTCTCATTAAAGCAAAACAAATTGTAGCTGGTGAGTCTTGACCCTTTCAATGCCACTCCAGCTTTAGGAAGTAAGAAGTAACCTCCTAGAATACCTAAAATAATTGATAATTCATATCTCTTACCATTTTTCTCATGGATCTGGACCAAAGACCTGAAAGACTGTTGAGCTCGAACTAGACTGTAGACCCCTGGCTGTTAGTGAAAGACAAAACAAATTGTGATTTCCATCTACCACATTTTTGCACATAATGAGAAATAAACAATAAAAGATAAAAATATACTTTTGAAGAGGCTTAATGTAAAATACTGGGAGAATCTGACTCTAACCAAAAGTTGCAACACTTATTTATGTACTTTTTAGTTAATTCTTATTTTATCATATATTTATTATTATAATAATATTATTTTACTTCACTACATTAGTATTGCTTTATTTCTATTCAAATAGTTTACAAATCTGTAAAGCAAAATCTTACATGTACATGTGTGTAGCAATTCCTTAATGTATCCATTGTATATTCAATTATTTGTAGCACAAGCACATGTAACTGAAGATGACATCACTGATGTCGAGACACGTTCTCCAAACTTAAAATTTTTTTTTCAATCACTAACTAGCCTGTAACTTATCTGGTAGTGAATTCGTTTGCCAAGAATCAACAACCCACCTTTTTGTTTTCTTGGAAGTTTATTCTTGCTTTTCCTTTCACTAATGTAGCAGCAATTTGCATTATAACAGCCTCAACAGTGTATGCACTACTCCAACCCTGTAACAAGAAGACAAAATCTTGCTACTGTGTAATGTTATACATACAACTTAATAAATGGTTTGACATATACTTGTAAAATATGCAAAATTTTTAATTATTCTTTGTTACACATATTGAATAAGGGATGTATCATTTCACCTTCATCTAGTATTTCTAGCAATTTAGCTCAAAACACATGATATGGCCTTATCTCAGAAGCACATCAATCCCATATTCCATGTGCTGAAGACAAAGCCTTAAAAGGAAACAAGGGCCAACAAAAGAATCTGATGCACTTCACAGTTTATGGCACCTCTTTTCCACAGACACCTTCCTTTATTCCTTCAGTAAACCATATTAGAGATGTTTGACTGTTCATACATGCACACTTGTTACACCTGCATGTACAGTGTTAAGTTGTGTAATCATTCATACATGTACAGCATCTCATATTGTTTCAAGTTTAATTACTATATTTATACAAAATACATCCTAAAACATGCCATAAAATCAACAACATTCTGCTTAACTGAATTCATTATAATGCCAGATTACAAACCTGGGGTGTGAGCAGTTCCATGCAAAGAGCTCCCCCACTGAGTACATAACTGTTGGAAAAAAAGAGACATAATGTACATCAGTAAGCTCCAAAGATCAGCAAACCAAGCCAGTAGAGCAGTTAAATCATTAAACTATCTTATCAAAAGAAACTGTTGGGCAGCACTGGCAGGCAATGATGTTTTGTCACAGGTATTTACTCCATTTTCGATTCAAACACTTTTCTAAAACAAAGGGTTGAGTCACTTTCTCAAAAGGTAGTAAAATTCACAACCAGATGGTAATTTATCTCCTTTTGTCAACATATTGTTGAAATTCAACTACATCAGTGATTTTGTATAATTATGTACTTGTACAGTTATAAGTGCCTTTAGGTGACACTCAGAATTGCTGGGTTAGCTACATGTACAGATGTATGTTGTTTAAGGACTGTAAAAATCCCTTTCATCTATGCACAAATCAACTAAAGACGGATTAGTCATTGTTCCTTTGTTGCATTCTAAGACCCTCTGATAAATGTTACCCCCTGTGCATGTAAAGTACTCATGAATATTTCCAACACATCCTGTATCAAAATATTCATTTTTTAACCCACCAGTTGAGCTTAAATAATACAGTTTTTGATTTTCAGATGGTCATTTAACTACATACATGTTGGTTTATTAAATAACTGTGAGATACATCTAAGTTTTGATGTGTTTAGAATAAGAATGCCTAAATTGCATCACCATCAACCTTAACATCAAAAGGATATACTTAAAAACTGTACATGTAAAAATGCAATTATTATTCCTAAATACTGATAATTGTCCCCAATATTGGACTTACCCTGCTGTTAATACTGGATAAATGACTCTGACAAATGGGGGATCAAATGGAAACTTGTCCTGAAAAAACAGTCAGTTACATTGATATGTATCTACCTCAAATCCTTTAGTTAAAAAATTAAGGCTCCTTCTAGATAAATGTAGTTGTATAAAATTGCCAAAAGCTACTGTACACCTAGAAAGACCATGAAGGAAAGGAACAAGCAAGACTGGACAACTGGAATATTTGTTGCAAAACAATTCCTGTACTTTAAGTATATTGTTGCATATAAGCCTTGGCCTGCATATTGAAAATGATATTGTACTCAAAAAAGAGTCAGCGGTGAAGGTAAATTATGACCTATGTAATTTGTGAAAGATGTTTTTACCAAATTTTATCTCCTATTTTTCCCCTGTCCTGCTATGTAATAATGTCAAATATTTTGCTTATGGAGAGGTAATTACATATTTACAAGATTAATATTCTAAACATTACAATACTTACTGTAAAAGTCATGTTTAGCGACACATGATCTGTACCCTCTTGCCCTCTAAGCTGCATTAGATCTTTGTGTAATGTACTGTCTGGGTCAACTCTATATTGAGAAAAAATTATCAGTTCCTCAGTTATCTAATAGTTAAAAGTTCTTGATTCTGTTTTTCTCACACTGGTTTGATTTGTTTAACCTCATAATCATTCTTATCACTTTGTTTGCAGCATGGTGCATTTTTCCAGCTGCAATAGAGATTTTGGCAATTTAATATGGATTTATACCTGACTGTGTGATTGTTCAGATCATTTTTTTTGTCTCTCTGTTTTTCAGTTTTTATTTTTCAATGCCCTACTGTAAAGTAATAATTATTAATAGAAATAGAGTTCTTGTTCATGAGCATTAATGTCTTGGACCTTTCTCAAAGTAAATTTAATCCCCACCTAGTTAGCGACTTGGGCTAAAAAACTCTTGAGTCATGCCCAAAACATAAATGCTGCAAACATATAATTATCTAAAAAAATGAAAATAAATGTTGAAACAAGTTTCAAAGTTTAATTTCCTTTCCTTTAATAACTGGTTTCAATTGAAAACTTTCATAACAAAAGAAAATAATTGAACTACAGCACATGAATTCAACTAAAACTAAAAATTTAAATACACATTCATGATCAGTTACATGTACAGTATTACATGCCTTGTTAAATAAATTATTGAGCCTACACACCTTATAATTTTTATTGTCCAGTCATATAAGTTGTCATCATTGAGGCACACAGAATATGTTCCTTAAAGGAAAATGTAATTTTTAACAATAAGTACATGTGTCTTCACAATCAAGCAAAAGAAAAAAAGCATTTCATCCTGTTAGTTTCTCTCATAACCACTGCATGCATGCATCATGTACTTGAAATCCAGATACATGACTTGTACATGCACACGGAATATCATCAATAGAGAAAATATAGATAAAAATTGTTTTAATTATTAAAACTGTTGTAATTATATACCTGTAATATTAACTGTTATAATTATTGTTATTTTTATTATCATTATGATAATGATTATTTCTGTTGCTGTTTTTTATTATCATTATTATTGTCAATATTTTTGTTACATGATTGTATACCTTAACTGCAGTAGGAATTGTAAAAAAGTTACTTGAGTCAATATTAAAGAATAATGGAGTTATTGACTGAAACATTTTGTTACAGTGCTATTAATTATTAAAAAAAATGGAAAATATATTTAAAAAGTAAAACAAACCTGTCTTGAAACTCTCAGATCTATAAACATCTCGAAGTTCTTTCATTAATCTGTCAGTAGCTTGGATAGATCCACTCACTGTCCCCTGGATGAAGTTAATAACAAAACACGTAAACATGTAGTCCTGACTTTGGACATGAAAATAAATCATTTATAAATATACATGTATTACATAGCTTGCCGTCCATAAAGATAAGTACCACTTACGGGTAGTAAAATAAATATCCTTTTGTGTGGCCATTGATTTTCAAGCGAAACCCACTTCATACCTAATAGTTTTTTATTTAAGGTCTTTTCAGACAAGTACATGTACAGGTATGCTGGAGATCTGGAAAAGTAAAATAAACCCTGCACTTGTCCAAGGGGACAGGTGAGTTGAAAAAAAAGTTTCTTGCCTTGAGTAAATATCATTATTTTCTAATCAAACCAACCTTAAGGTGGTCTTCCCTTCTATTCACTCGTATCCTTTCCAATACTGCATAATTTGCTGCACCAATTTCCTGCAACTCTTTGTTAGAGTCTTGTCTGTTCAAAAAAAGCACATCACAATAATAATTATATCAAACATTTGTCATCAATGATTACAACAATAAATGCTTTGCCACAAGACTTGACAAATAAAAATGAAAAGAAAAAGAAAAAAGTACAAGTTAAGTGTACTACACAATACTCACTCTGTATCTTCTTCCATTTCATAATTATCAGAATCCTCACTATCATCATGACCCTGGATCAATTAAAAAAAAAATCCCAAAATTGAACATTAAATTCATCTTCCTCATTTGAAAAGCATATGCGTATATCAATAGTTACTATAAAAACTCAGAACTTTACAAGATTAGATATAGTATCAATAGTTACTATAAAAACTCAATGAACTTTAAAAACAAGAAACAACAAAAACTACAACAACATAATGCAGACATATTTAGTCAATATGGAGTAATAACTGGATATCTCCTGTCCTGATTAAGCAGTAGTGGAAGCTTAAACAGTTATAAATAAGCTGGCAACAGAAACAGGTCTTCCTTGTAAAATTGAATTTGTTTTCCATCAATGGGCCCTTATTTGCTTATCTTCTAATCTAGGCAAGTTTCAGTTAGAAGTGTATCTCGCAAAGATTTCCCTCATTTGTTCCCACTCAGAAAAAATTGAAGGTTTAATCCCATTTTTCAATACCTAATCATATTTTTTCCTGAGCATACCTTCTTAGTGGAATTTACAGATATTTCAGGAATCTGAAACTATGTACCAACCATGTGTATAAGTTGGTTTTTCAAATTCTCCCATGATGAAGAATATCGTTATTGTAAATTTCTGTAGTTTTAGAAGGTTGTGCCAAAGAGCCCAAAAATAAAAGAGACAATGATTCCTATGCAGTCTGCCTAAGGGATTACATACCCACTATACTTGTGTATGTGCATGTACAGAATTAAACACAACATTTTGTACCTCTTCTAAACCTTCATCCTCACTTTCCTCATCTTCTTGGGATGTTGTTGACTCCTTTACCTCAACATCTTCCTGAATAGTCAAGACGAAACAATTTAGTTTGGAGAGCATGACACATTCAACACATTTTTTGTTGACAAGAACATGGCTTTTGTCTGATATACTATAAATTTATTCCCAATTGCACTGCATCCAAAAAAAAATTACGAAACAAACTAATTTCTAAGTGTACAGCCAAGACAAACATGTCTGTTAGGTGTCTGCAAGTGAAATCTTAAAGTGCAGCTTTAGGTGATTGTTCAGTCGATGTTGCAGAAACTACAGTACTTGTAATATTCTCTTCAAAAAGCATCAGCATTGATTGATAGAGTGATTGATAGAGTGATTGTTTTCCAACAATTCTATTTAGACCAGGTTTGGTACTGGATAAGAAACTTCACCACGTAAATATTTCTCAGGAAAATTTTTAGTGTGAGTAGTTAAGAAGACAGAGGAAATCACAAGCAGCATCACATTGCAGCATCGCGTTGCAATGTCAAACAGGGGTAAAGAAATCCAAGATGTAAACAAGCAACAAATTTCATACATGCTAATTAGCAGCCACCGAACGCTCTCATAATTCCAACGGAACAGAGAGCTTTCTCGGTTCATTCACCTCACTTTTTAGAGGACACTTTAGTTGTATTAATTATTACAGGATCTCGTCTTACTCCATCGACATCATCAGCTTACAGGTCCACTTCCGGTTGAGACCCTCTGAACATAAATACCCTTTAAAAATTTGACGTAACCACAGGAATAATCATGCGATGTCTCGACATGATTGCAACTAATTAAAAACTGAAAGAAAAATTAGGTGCTGTCGTGGTCAATGGGTGAAATGAAAGGACATCCCTTCTTCTTGAGCCAAAACGATTGGAAAGTTATGAACATCAGTTAAATGAACTTACGTGTATGAGCTGTACAAGATCAAGGTTGTCTATGTGCGATGGTACAGGAAGGTCTTGCCATTTATACAACTCCTTCGCCAAGTATTTTGTTGATCGAAGAAGCTGACATATAGAAAAAAGACTACATCAGTTTACGTAAGGCCATTCTTCAAAATTATGCGGGAAAATTTCATCGAAATTAAAGAACAAGTGAACTCATCTTACCAAATTGGGTGCTGAAGGCTCAATACTACTTAAGAATTCGAGTATCTGCGCGATTTTCGCATCTTCGCTTTCAGCAAACCACATCGGAGGTGGGTTAGGATAGGATTCCTGTTTAACCAACGGCATAAAGAAAATTAGAGCAGCTTTAACATATTCTTTAAAGGATGTACGATTCTATCGATCGTAACATTTAGTCAAAGTTTACTCACAAAGATATTGCAGTGGACTACATGTTCGCCATTTGTTGCGAGGAATCGGCACGTCACTTCGTCCAAGCCGTTGGCTTCAACGCGGAAATGCTCGTGCCGTGGGCCAAAGGTTTTTTCCAGGATACTAAGCTCCCTCTTAAGCTCTTGGAACTTTGACATTTGCCTTGCTCAGGCAATAGCGAGAGCTATCTACGACTAAAAACAGTTCCCATTAACAAACAAGTTCGTCTGTATATGAAATTTCGCGAGTTTCGCGTCTGTAGATGGAGAGTCGCTGTTTTGAACCGCTGACCAATCGAACAAGGAATGGGTGATTGGGTGAAAAGGGGGGGGGGGGGTGGGTTGGGGTTGTGACTTGAAGGTTGTTTTGATAGCAAAGGAAAGGATCCGTTTTTTTCGACAGGGAAGTTAGAAGGATTTTGAGGGGGCAATATTGTTGTTATTGTCGTCAAGATATTATTTTATCTTTTTGTTCTTTTTAAGTAAGGAGTTGGGTAACACTGTCTTTCTTTGTCTAGCCGAGAGCTTGTGTGTCCAGTTTCAAATTTAATTTATCCTCACTAGATCAATAAATTAGAAAATCTTGCCTTCAGGTAGATACTCGGGCGGTGTTGCTTTTGGGAAAGTGAACAGCTAACTAGAAAGCTGGGCATTAGGAGTGAACGATTCATAAAACGTTAATACGTGTAAATCATGTCCCATTCTTGACAAGAACAAATAACCCTTAAAGTTTAACTGACTATAATTGTACTTTTCTGGAGCGCAAATTACTGTGACTTTATAAGCCAAAGAAATTGAATACAAGAAACGCATCTTATTACTAGCCGGAATTAGTATATAACAAAACGGCGGATAGCATTGAAGGCGCGCCTTGATTGGCTTATCAAACTCCGAATATCTTTTCCTATTTATCTCCGAGCAACGCCAGCGGAGGACAATTAGCGAGTTTATTTTTTGCTCCAGCTGTAACAGTGCCAAGTATCTACGGCAGTTGGTAAACTTTGGACGCCTCCAAAGAAATTTGCGGTAGTTCTTAATCTTGTAGAGAAGTATGCGTACAAAAGCGAAGAGACACCAACAGTTACATCTCTCAATAATGGGACAATATTTTCTCTTGCTCTCAGTTAATACGTGCACTATGATTGCTCAATTAAACGGGCCATATTCATTAAATTCAAACGTTTATTTGAATTGAAATCTTCGCCCCTAGCCTCGTTTCCTCCGTCCGCACTGTTAGTTACGGCTGAACCTCATTCTTTTCGAGAGGTATGAGTACGGAGCTTGATCAGAGCAAAGTAATCCGTAACGCGGTGCTAAATCAGAACAGATAGTGAAAGAAATAAAATTTAAAAGATTTTATTTGGCAAAAAGTAAAAAACAAGCATTTTCTTTAGAAAAGGGCGTGAAGAGTCTAGAGATTGACATCGCTCGCATAACGTCCTTCCACAGTTCAATTAAGTGATTGTAATCCTATTGAAGCTGAAGGCAAAAGACCATGAAATATGCATGGGGTATTATTGCTAGACAATTATCTGTTTCGCATACGAAGCGCGTAAAATACTTGATCCTAATAACGTAATTAGAGCAGTTTTAAGTGGAACGTCGAAAAACTAAAACTATAGCAGTCCCAGGGACCAATCAGAACAAAGGTTTCCAAAGTACTAAGCCAATGAGAACTCAAACTGGAAAACTTGCTTGAAGCGCGGGAACACGCGAGTTACCAGGCTGCAATTGTTTTGAGCTTTGAATCTGATTAGTTGAGAGGATGACCAAGTTTTTTGTACGAATCACAGGGCAAAGTTAAGTAAAAGCATAGCAATACCGTGCTCCTTTCGACACTCGATTGAAAAATGCTCTAAATGGATACAGGAAAACTACACTATAATGATTACTCATGACTTAGAGGGGCATAGCTGGAGTGATCAGCAGGTATTAAAGCTACACTAGAACATTTCAATAATTATAAAAAGGTTTATGCTATATAGGTTGCTTACTGATATGGTAGTACCTAAACTTTTCCAAAACTTTATGTCTTGGGAGAGGAAAAATTATCCATAACTAGACCTCAAAAAATGACAAGATAGTTACTCTTAATCCATAGTCCTAAATTGCAAACAACTAATCACCAAAGAAATCAAACTTGGCTCGATAATCATTAGACGCAAAAATGCACTGCACAGCAGTAGTCTTCGGAAAAAAGGCATTGGATCCTTAAATGTCGAACTTTCCATGTGCTTATACCTACTCTGTAACTACGTAATTTTTTAAAATCTTTGTTGCTCTATAGAGTGACGCAAGTAACTAACTATACCGTTAGGAATAACGTCAAAAACCACAAATAAAACATTCGAAGAGGAGAATCTTGTTGCTTAATTCAAGTAGCATATATGTTCACAACCTTCAAAACGACTTCCTTGCAATCTCGTTTACTCCTCGAAAGAGATAATTAATTAATACTTTGAGCGCCTTAAAATTACAATTCAATTTGATCTTCAAGAACAGCAAGTGTTCACAGCCTCAAAAATACTTCTTTCCAATCTCGCACTTTCCCCGAAGAGAGGTCACAATATCTGCTCCTTGAAAACTTAAGTCTGCATTCTTCAATTTTTTAGTTCACAATTCATTTTAATCTCTTCCATCCTTTCAGTGTCATCTCTGGTCCTTTTAAATTTATCACATTTCCCCTTTTGGAGATTTCAACTTTATGAGTATTTTTTTTGGGGCTTGCTTTTAGTTTCTGGTATCTCTGCGAGATGCAAAATGGCTTATGCGATCGTAAAGTAGCTCCTTAATATTTTCATTCCTATTGTAGAAGCAAGGCCTGAGCAAACCTTGATTTCGAATGAGATTCAATGTAACTCAAACGACGGTAGTTATTCTGGAGAAGTTCTGATTTTGTTAGACAGAATATTTACTAGAGTTCTTTTCACTTTTCAGGTACAAGCACATGAAAAGTTCAATCATTTTCTGTGGACCTCATTGCAACTTAATATAAGCCGATATATAATATCTAACGTACACCTCAACCAGTTCATGAAAACCGGTAAGACAGACTTGTTTCTCGACGGATAATACTTTTATGTGATCCATAAATCTCTGGCTGCACTCTGATTTTTAACCAAAAGGTTTGTTAATGACAAAATAGGTATCAATTGTTCCCTGTAGTCTATAAGAAATTCAAAGTATGCTGGGGTTGCGATCCTACAGCTCATGGCAGAGAGCTAAAATAGCACCTGAATTTCTTGAAGAATTCACATAAAATTATCAGTGCAGCCAGAGATTTACAGATTAGCACATAACTAGATGATCTATAATGACAAGCTTCTGAACCTGCCATTTGTTTTACTACGCAGACGAAACGGTCGACTGATGAACTCCTTACTGCGGTGATCACCGATTAGTACTACCACAACCACCAAACGGAAATTATTTCGTCTCTCTGCGTCCACTGTAGACAGCTTGTACACAGGAACGCCATGCCTCGTTGGAGACTCGTAAACAGAGTCCAAATCAACCGTGAAGTAATACTGTGGAGAGAATGTTCTGATAAGCAGGCCTGTGAAGTAGTTTTGTAAAAACCAGAGGGCCGGGAGTACTTGAGTCTACGAATACATAAGAGGCGAGATAGCACGAAGGCCTTTTCTCGGTTTAAATTGGCGATTCAAGGACTTCTTTAAGCGAATTGATATTCTACAGTCCCTTTTTTGAGTGAAAGAGTTTAGCCTCGGTGGACCTCTGAGCCTCTTTCTCTAATACGTATGTCAATATCTGGTGGGCGAAAGGTAGGATTTGTAGAAACAACGATTTGCACTCTTCTCTGTTATTACCTCTACTTTTATTGAAGGTCCGAAATCTGCCTAAATGTTTAGGCACATACTCGATGACAAACACTACTAAAAACTCTCTGAATTCTCTTTTTTTCTCAGGCTCTCCCTTCCCAGTCCCCCCCCCCCCCCCTCCTCCTCCTCTCCTCATGTAACTTAACCCCTTGATAATCTTGAGATCAGAACTCGCTCTTTACCTTTAGGTTACCTATGTAGACTTTGCACCGTAAACCTCTGACGGGAAAGCTTTGAACAAAATGATCGCTATCAAGGACACGCCACACTTTCTAAAGATTAGCAAACACAATTTACTCACCTCTGAATCAACGGCAAGGCCAGCATACGCATTTACTTGAGCGCCAGGCGAAAATAATACTTAAGTCACATCAGTGTCCAGCATACGTTTCCCGTAATACAGATGCCTATGTCTTTGTACGAAATCTAACTTGCCACAACAACACAGATGTGCATGTGCAATGGGAAGGGAAGATTAATCAATGGTCAACCTCCCCCTCGTCTCAATAAAGTAGGCGTAATCGTGTTTAGTCTAGACCATGAATTACCGCATTTAGCCCTTCTGTTTTATTTAACAGGTCTTACGGAGTCGCCTCAGGAATATTGTCACGAGCTTAAGTATCGAAACTATATCAATAAAAATCAAATATCACACAAGAAAGCCAAGAAAACATACAGATGATTATGTTTGACGTGATCCCCTCTCCCCGCACCCCCCAGAAACAATTTGACGAATTGTGACAGTCACCAGCCTGAAGTAGACGTCTAACGTAACCTTTTTTCTTTACCTTATTTGGAAAGTAGGGTCCTGGCTGGGACTTGAGGTACACTCTGCCGCATTTATCTCCAACCAGGAGTGCGGCATTGGGAGTTCTCTCGACGTAAACCTCAATGGTCTGCACCTGATGACCTTGAGTGAGCACACGCACCTTGATCTTTCCTTTCACGACTCGTTGTCTGGATTGACGGTTAGCACGGGACTGTGTCTTGTGGTAGACGAGCTTCAGATCAGGAAAGTCCACCCTGATCTCAACATCCTCCCCTTCCAGCCCCAGATTCTCAAATATATGACAGCAGCTGGTGGGAGACTGAGGTTCTGTTTTAGTGCCATCTTGGTCATCTAAAAGGATAAGAATAAAAAATAATGATGATAGCAATAATAGCGATGGTTTGCACGATTAGCTGGATCTCCCACGGACAGCATTGTTTTCCTCTTCATAAATCACAAAGAACTGCCATATTAGGAGAATTTCACTCCCTTTGTCAATGCATTATTTCCTAAACTTCCTGAACAGAAGTATCGAAACTGCGGCAAGTAACAACAATCCTGAATCCAAAAGATCCACTATGGAATGGGTTGTGAGTCTGCAGAGTAACTGATCGTACCCTAACCATAAAGCCCAAATGTACAAACAGGATTTTCATTATTCTTAAGAGAAATTGTCGGAAAAAAGAACTGAGAATATAACCAGCGCTGATCTGGAGAAGAAATTGCGATAGCTGGAAGCGGTTTCGATCAAAATGCACATTACTTATGTTGTATGAAATTTAACACATTTCTCACCGAATAAATTAGAATTGGTATCCATAATCATTTCGGAATAAATTTGCTTCATTTCGAAATGTAGAAGCAGGTATTAGGACACGCATCCTTCATCATACTGGCCACAATTCTACAGAAAAGACTTGGCAGATATTACAAATCTTCGTACATAGTAACCCGAGTTGCTAATTAAAGCTGAAATGCTTTCAGATCATGACGGGTGCGTGATTTTCCACTTTGCTTCCAGTGGGTCACATTAAAGTACTTTATAGGTCAAAAAGTGTAACACAAATTGTAAAAATTGGTTAACTATATGTCCAAAGAAAATGAGCTTCACTGCAATAGTTTTTTAAAAAGTCTCATCAGCTGAGCGAAAATACCTTAAACTTGAGGAAAACACGGAAATTTTAGTGCAACTGAATAGAAAAACACAGAAGGGTCATTTAAAACTCTGATAGGACTAAGGATGACTACTAATGGAGCAGATTGAAACGGATTGCAATGGAAAACTTAGACTCAGTTGCTTTAATCACAAACCGTAACATAGTAACGCGGAAGAAACCGGTCACAAGAAAAAATATTGCGTGAGCTATCACGATGTCACGTGACTTACAACTTCCTGTTGCGCTGAAACGAAAAAGCAGTGAAGCGTAGAGACAAATTTTAACCTCTCAGTACCCTTTCATAGCCTTTCCCTGGCATGTTTACATCAAGAAGAAAGTTTCCTCTCGATAAATGCATTTGACCTTGTTTCAGCTCGACCGAAATAGTCGGAAACTCAACTTCACGTTTTTGGTTGTGCTTTCAATTCCGCTTGATCTCTGACCCAATACAGTTAAATCTTGAGCATCGCAGTCAAGAAAGCTCAATTGATGATTTCATAATAATTTTTATCAGCCCTTCGGGATTTTGCAGTGGCAAATCCCAATGATATATACTGAGCCCAATGTTAAATAACTGAATTTTTCTTCGCCTTCCTATCCTCGATGTGAATCAAGAAACTGATATGACATCTATGGAGCCTTATGTTTGCATATTAATGTACTTTCATCTTGTTTTCTGAATGAAAGATAGCGCGCTTTACACACATTCGGGCGAAGTAGAAGAACAGTTCATGCTGCACTTACCTTCTTCACTGATAGGGAAATTTTTGGCCATAAAAAGATCTCTCAGTATCGAGGTATTAAACAAACTTAGCAACTTGTCTCTCTCTGCTTCTGCAGAGGCCGCAAAACAATCCATGCTCTTTGGTTCAGATTTTTCCATCCTCGCCGGTAAAGGCGAGAATATTTTTTTCGATTTAACCTTGAATTCAAGGATAAAAATCTAGATTCACTAGGAAGTTCTAATAGTTCGCCATTAACTCCAATATCGCGACCACAGTGTATGATCTAATCAGGTTACAGTCCCTTCCGTGTGCGAATTCTTGAAGTTTATCTTCCATATATTTGCTGTCAGCTGGTGGAACAACTCTGCAAAAATGTCGGATGGGAACCACGCACGATCTTGAGATCCAACCCCAGTTCAAACACCAATAATTGATTGACACCTGTTACGTGTAGTTGTCTATTTAACAAATGATTGGTCCATTTACCTTGAGAATAGACGGGGCCCTTTTTAACAATAGCTCAGACTAACTCCAACAAGCTAATAAATTAAGACATAAGCATCACTTGAATAATGTAGTTCTCGTTACTAGGGCGACATAAGGGGCTTTCCCGGCTTAACTCTTCCGTTCAAAATGCTCGTAGGCTCACAAGACTATCAGATGATTATTGTTGTCGTGCTTCTAATACTTTAAATAATAGACTAGCGTGACGACGATATTGGACGCTCATTTTCTTTTATAACTCTAAACACCGACACTAAAAAAATGTATGCAAATTACAGCCTTTCATCAGAGACTCAAAAACATAAGAGCGCTTCTTTGATTTCCATACCTGACAAGCCGCCACCCGCGTGACACAAATGAATGTCACGGTCAGTCGATCGGATGTAAACAAATCTCTCGCACTTTACCGGTTTAGAGAACAAGCAGTCTTGATGTAGTTTATCTCTTTCACATGTTTTCGTTGGCATATCAAGAAATATGATGTAAGTAAAAGGAAGTCAGAAAAATAAAGAAAAGAAGATCAATGTGGTTGGAGTAAGAATGCCAGTAAAACCACATCAAGCGAGCTATTTTTATTTCAACTTCCTGTTTCAGCTGTTTACAGCAACTCAAACAAAGCCGCAGAGCTTAAATGGGGTCAGTAGGTCATCTGTTTCGCTTCTTATTTGAACGCGTAGAATTTGTAGTGAAGGGGGGGGGGGGGGGGGAGGGAAAGGAAGGATTACCAGCAAGACCAGACAAATAAGAGATCCCGTTCATATAGAGAAACGAGAATTCAAGCCGTTTGCCGTAACTATGCCCCTATTTATTTCATTATTTATTCAGCAGTCAATACATTTATTTTTGTTTTGACTTTTTAGGTCATGAGAGTCTCCGGAGAGCGAATTGCACCCCAGATGTAAGTGAAATAACACCCCTTCGTTTTATTTTTTTAATTGTGAGTTACTAAAGCCGCTGTGGTTGCCAAATTCTACCGTCATCGATCACCAATTGTTTTTAAAAAAATATATTTTAACGATTGGCGAAGAATACGAAGTCGAGGTCCACTTCTTTTTATTCCTTCTAATATTCAAAGCACTAACGACTTAAAATCTCAAATTGGTTCATTTGGATCTCGATGGGCGTCCGTTTCGCGCAACTAGGAACAAACCCACCACTGGGATTTTATAAATGGTAATCTTACTAATATCCTCTTCTTGGGCCGTTCTGTTGGCTGTGGGTTCCCCTTTTAATCATTTGAGCTGATTTCAGGCCCACGCACTTGATGGAGGAAATAGCTCGGTCCGAAAGTAAGGACCCCGAACTCGGTTGAGGTATGTACAGTGTGAATCAGTGGCGAAATTTGACTAAATTGAAACATTCGAGATGGATTGTTGAAAGAATGCCATTTATGTCACAAGTGGGATTCGACTGCGACCTTACACCACTCGGCCACCCTGACATACGCGAAGTTACTTCCTCATGGGATGGGGAGGGGTGTAAAGTAGAGCTGAGTATGGCACATAACGCATTCTCAAAATTCAAGCGTTTTGTTGCGTATATAACTTTGGGTTCAAGTAATTTCGCAAAACTATGAAATGCAAAACCTGACAAGGAGTACACATCCAAAACTTTTTATAGCTACACTTGAGATGTACCGAAGGACTTCGAAATTTCTTTTACATAGTCCTTATTGAATTACAATTGATTCACGCCAAGAGAATATAATGGAACCTTTATTTTCTCAGACATAATAAGACATTATCGAGCTATCGCGCCATCAATTTGATGGGAAGGGGAAAGGATTTTATCTCATTTCTCGTTTTTCAAAGATCTAGCTGACAATGCGAATCGAGTGAAACATGTCATTCTTGAACTCGAAATAAGTTATGTTAAAGGACCAGAGGTTACTGTGTGCTTAAAATTTCAACCAATACACACGATTCACTGAATGAAATGATATGGTTCTAACAAGACGAAATTGTTGAGCCGGAAATTGTTGCATTACATGTACAGTTGAACCCTGGTGACTTGAATTGCCAAGGGAAATTGAAATTGCTTCGAGTTATTGGGGTTTTGAACAAAAAGACAAGAAACACTTGATTAAAGAGGTTTTATGCCTATACATCATGTTTTATTGAAAGATTTCTAGCAATGTAAGAGCATAAAAATGGCAAAACAAAACAAAAGCATGAAAACACAAGTAAATAAGATTAAATGTAATCTTCCGGTGTAAAATATTATGGCTCATTAGTTCACAAAAGTGAAAATCGACTTCGAGTTATCGAAGTACCTGAAGGGACGTAAAAATCACTTCGAGTTATCGGGGTTTTGAGTTATAGGGTTAAAATTACAGTAAATATATTAAGCAAATTCAAGGGAAATCAGTTTTGCTTCGAGTTAGCGGGGAATTCGAGTTAACGAGGGTGCCACTGATCAAAGATGGAACCGTCACGCAAACAATTGAGGAGGTGGTGGGGGTTCGGGTGGTGAGTTGATTTAAAAGATTGACCTCGTTTCAGCTCGAGTGAAACATAGTCATAAACCTCGTTCCGACTCATAACGCCTTACTCGGCTTAACTACCCACCCCCCCCCCTCTTCTCCCTCCCCTCCCTCCCTGAAGTATTAACAAATAACTTAAATCGAATGATGTTACGGAAGTCAGGATGGCCGAGCGGTCTAAGGCGCTGCGTTCAGGTCGCAGTCTACTCTTGTAGGCGTGGGTTCGAATCCCACTCCTGACAAATACTCCTTTTACATAAATAGCTATTGAGGTCACTTGGCGGGTGAACAACAACTCAAAATGGCAGCCCAAGTCAATGTTTTCAAACAGAGTCGGCACCCGCCGGAGCTCCGGCGGGCATTCTGTTGTAAATCGCGGGGTATACTTTGCCACGTTCAAGTCGAGTCTTCAGAACGAAAAAAAAATAAAATGAAATAACATTGTTAATGATGGTCAATTTAGTATTGGAGTATTTACATTATTTATTTTTCAGATTCCGTGGCTTTTGATTGTTAGATTCATTCTTTCTGTTTGCTTCGCGTGTTCTACATGAATTCATCATGCGCCTAGTAGAAGTACACATCGTCGGTTACTTAAAATAAATTTCAAGCAATTCTGTACTGAACTAAAATCATCAAATATTTTTTAACAAATAAAACAATACTTCGTCTCAACTGCTACTTAGAAACCATACTTGAAAATCAATAAATAGCGTACTTGTTGATAACACATACAATTAAATTCGGCACGTTTTTGCAAAGATGCTTAAAAGTTTGCATTAAAAACGCTTACCCGAGGCTAATGGATGAAGAGAGGAACAAAATCAGCCATTGTACACTTAGCGTCTAACCTTTTATTAAAAAAAAAAGCTGCATTTGCTGTAAAAAGCCAAGAAGACCATGTTCGTATGGTTATGGCTTGCCAGAATATGAGTAAGTGACTTTCTGTTATTTTTCGTGAAGCAATCGGACGCTCGACAAATGTTTACGCTGATATGAAAAACGGAATCATGAAAGCAGTTAGAATTTAATGGCTGATTGATTTAATTCAAGTATCTTATGTAAACAATAGCGAATGCCCTAACGCTTCCGCAGGCCGCAGACGAGTAATCCTATAATTTTTCCCATGAACAAAACTCGTGGAATTCACCGCCATTTATCTTTGATTTCACCTGATAAAAAGGGAAGCTTGCGATCACAAATTTAGAATTTTAGAGAATGAGAGGTTTGTTTTCCAATTGCAGGCAGAAGAAAAATCTGTAAACAAAGATCAGGGCGTTACCAAGTGAGTCGAATGGAAAACAATGGAATCTGGATCGGTCAGGCGAAGAAAGGTTTGGTACATAGCAAAATTTGAGAACATGTTCATATGGAAATTTGATACACACGGGATATTATCTCGTATTGGTTTTGTAGACTACCAGTCGAAAGTGTTTAGTATTATGCGATGTTGGATGATTACCATCATTCTGGATCTTTCTGTGACTTTTCGGAAGCTTTCAAGAAAACTCACTTATTAAGATCTAGAACATCTCGGGATCTTTTAGAATTTTGCCTTAATGAAAAACGTTTCGATAAAAATGACTGATATTGTCTTATCATATATGACATTTCCAAGAACATAAGGACTCAAATTTCGGTAACAAGTAACCGGGCGTCTGGCCTTTCAGGAGACCTATGTGTGTAACTCAGGGAGCAGGTCAGAAAATGGAAGATTTTGATAAGGTCAATTAAACAATTGTTACAAATTAAGAAAACTAATATTTAGTTATTATTTACCGAAGTTTAACTCAGAAAACTCCATTTGAAGTCGGTTTATTCTGAATAGAACAAATGGGCTAGCGAAGGGGAAATTATTTCCCATTTTAGTCTCCGACGGTTGCTTTACCGAGGTAGCCACCTTATCAAATCTTATTAAAGCGCTGCTATCAATCTCCTGGTTCGGCTGTCTACAAACTTAAAATCATGTTCAGAGCACACCTTGGTACTGGATGCTACTCTTCGGTCTTAATTTTGATCTTTCTTTATTCCGAAATTACATAGTTGGTTAAAAAGAAAGTAATAAACAACCATGACATTAAAAAATCGAGAAGAGACGAAATTACTATTCAGACCATTTACTCGTGCAGATTAAAATACAAATTCGTTTGACTAGTAGTTGAAGAATTACAACATGGACATTTAACTTGTGAAGCTTAGGATCCTAAGGGTATTTATGAAAAGACAAGTCTGAATTTGTGGAAATATTATGGAAGTTATAGACGCAATGATCGTGGACTATTCGACTTTTCTCTGCCCTTCGTAGTTGATTTGTTATGGCGGTGACTGTTGTTTACTCATTCGGACCACGTAACCAATCTCTGGTTAATATAGACCATACGTATGAAGCTAAAAAGGTCTATTCACCCTGAATGGATCAAATAAAATTTTGCCAACAGCTAAAACTTTCGATTAGCAAAGCTAGGCGCACAAGAAATAATCGATCACTTATTATAGATCATAAAGACAGCCAAGATGATCGATTGTACTCTGCTTGCCATAGCTGCCATAGCTGCCATAGCTGCTTGATTTACTAGCTGACCATATGAGACATGGGCCGAAATATTTTATATAAGCATGGAAGGGAAGCATAATATTCATGTGTTGGTAGAAAAGAACTTGAAGATATCAATGCTAGAAATATATAAACAAACTTTTAGACGGTGAGTTATTCATAATTCCAACAATACCTTCATACAAAACAATATAATGCAACAAAACCAATGGCTTCATGGCAAATCATATTCTACAAATATTACTTAATAAAATTTGCTTCTTACCACGTCATGAGATTGTAAAGAGTTGCTTAACTGTTCGGAAATGGTCTCCATTCGACCTCAAAGCTCCGCCATTTTGAAAATAACTAAGTAACCTGGCCGCACTTCCAAATGGCGGGAATTCATCACCGGCCGGCCGCGGCTGCTGCTAAAAATATTCTTCAAGTTTCAGGAGGAAAATTACCCTCGTGCGAACCTTTGCAGCTTCAAGAGGAAATCAAGTTGTTGAATCGAATCCATTTGTCACATCTGTAGACATGCTTAATGGATCCTAATTTATCCATTTAGTTTGTATTTTTGCTGTTAACATCCCCTTAAGTCTTTTTTAGAATGGAAATTGTCCATTGAAACAAATTTTATTAAAAAAAGGATAACCAGGAATTTCCTCATTGCTGTATAGACAATCCTTTCTCTAGCCCTAATCAGTCTGTTATTTACCACTCTCACTATTTCATTACTCTTCCATCAGATGATGTCATGGTCCCATATCAAAACTGTACCATTTTATGCGACTTGTACTTGAGTGAAGAATTCCGGTCTCTTAAAGTGCATTAATTGGCGGCCACAAATAATAAACGAACTGCTTCCCGTACATACAACACATGGCTAACCTTTATTTCTCCTGCCGCGCTGCAGAAATAAAGGTAAAATCTAAACTGGTCATCAAAGAAATGGAAGCCACCAGGTAATTCATCTAAACACAGATCACGATGTCGCAATAGAATGACACACAAGCGAGTGAACACCTAAAATCGAAGAAATAGATGAAACATTTTGGAAAAAAATAAAAAATGACTGGCAGTAACTGAAGGGGGAATCTGGGAAACACAGAGGAGTCTTCGAGGAAGGGAGCAGGCATGCAAGGCCATGGAAAACCGCCTAAAAACCGTGCTTGAAATGAACGACTTCATATGGCCAGAGAGGGCAGAAAGAGAACGAGGTATGTGACTCGAAGTGGGGTTGGTGAATGTCCGTGGCACTATTATAGGGATTATACTGAAATTGAATACACTGGAAAAAGAAAAAACAAAAGAGAAATTCAGGCAACTCGAAGGGTGGAAAACTTGGAAAGTACAAAGGAGTACAAAGTGAGCGGACAACGCCTAGGAAAACCGTTAAGGCCGCGTATTGAAATGTACGACTTAATGATAATTATGACGAGTGAAATTGTAAAGAGAACGAGACACATAACTCAAATCGTGATTGTGAACCTTCAAGGCAAAATTGAAAGGAATCTATTGGAATGGATTACATTTGAGAAAGAAAACCAGGGTACAGGAAGGGAGAAAAACCGGGAAAGTAAAGAGTGGATTTTGGGAGAGGAGTCACATAACTGAAATCATGATCTTGAACGTTTGAGGCACGATCAAAGGAAAAAGCACTGGGAAGTAGTAGAAGACACCTCAGTCTCGCGGATAAGCAAGGGAGAAGGGAGTAGGGTCGTAAAGAGAATCACGCATGTTTGAATATCTTAGGGTGGAGCAGCAAACAGGGAAACCACAGGGTATCAACGCGAAACCGTGTTATCACAAAGGTACTGGTGGACAATTTTGAAAAGCATGGACTCGCGCCAACTTAGCCACAACACGAACACTTCGTGATCGGCGTTTTTGACGTGTTTCATGGAGCAGTCCTTATTTATCGCCTGGAAGGATTGCGGGGTGGGGGAATCACTTGGTTTTCAGGAGCAAGGGAGGAGGTATTAGTCGTCGCCAGCAAAGTATAAAGGGGAGGGGGACTACAGGAAATTGACTGTCAATGAGGGTAGCCCTATGGGGAGATCAGATAAATTTTACTTTGACACAATCAAAATCCTGCGGCTTCCCCTCAAGGAAAAAGACTAAAGCAAGACAATCATGACAAAATGTTTTTTAAAACATAATCCACAATTAAATTGTTACTGTTGTTGTTTTATTTATTCAAATGTTTCTCTGTTACTACTTTATTTATGAAATATCACTAGTTAAACCTTTTAAATTGATACAATTCAACTTATCTTTTCTCGTATCATTAAAACATCTTTTAATGACGGTGAATGACACTTCTAGTGTGTTAATCTTTCAGTCTTGTTTCAGAAAACACCATCGTCAATGTAATAAAAGGTAACCAAGAAGGTTACAACAACTCAGTACTTTAGTAGCACAGATGGCAGTAATATTTACACGTATGGTATTCTCACAGGAATCAAAGAAATATTCAATCTAGACGCATGTTAGTGCCACAAACGGTTCTGTAGCTTTTTTTCCCTTGAAAATTAGACGTAGAAAATATTATTTCTTTGTCCCACGCTTACGGTCAACCAAGCTTAAAATTTATAGCGTTTTTTGCTTTCTTGACGCAAATCAGAACTTGTACAACCACAATTCTACTCAAGCTTAAGGTCTCGTGGATTCAAACATTTCACTGTTTGAGTTTTGTAGCTTTTGTTGGAGAGAGCTTCATGGAAAGAAATTGTTTCGATATATTTACATCTTTTTACACAATTACTCAGGCAACTAACATTTCAAAAATCGCACTAGTAAGTGATGAACCGAAAAACAAATAGGTGTATCGTTCTTCATGTATAATTTGCGTCACGGTTAAAGTAAATCCATGATCTTTTCAAGACCATTTTAAACAAATTGATACACCATCTTTTTATTAATATAAAGTTTTCTTTAAGGGAGCTATGGCACTATGATTATTTGACTATCTTTGAACGTAAAGTAGGCTGGAAAATATCAACTCAGTAAGAAAGAGGCAAGTACAAAGCAAGAGGCAACTATGAACCAAGAAGGAAAAGAATGTACAAAGAAGAAAAAGATTAGAACTTTGAATTGAACTTTCTGAGTTCCACCCTTCTTGTATCAGTTTTTCATGGAGGTCAGAATTAAGAATGTGTTAATAAGGAGAGGCCTTACAGCTTCTCTTACTTTTAAGCAAAAAGGGTTCGCTGTAAAATGGTTGACTCTTACGTCCATTGGCGTAGACAATGTAAGCTAACAGCCAAAAGCGGTTGCGTCTTTCCGAGTCCACTGTGGACAGCTTGTATACTGGAGAACCGGTGATTGGATTATGATACACAGAGTCCAAGTCAACAGAGAAGTATTGATCCTGTCTCTGGTAGTTCTTCAAGAAAGAAAAAGAAAATGAAGGATCAGTAAATACACATAACCTAACCACACAAACCTAATATCCAAACTTAACAACCATAGCTAACTATACTAGACTTCTACCAAACTTGGGGCAAGTGTTCCATTAAAATTGTCCAAGAAGAAAGAGAAGCAAAAGACTCTAGATAAAGTCTAGAAGAGCTGGGCATGAAAGCAGTATTTTGATGCTCACAGTTCCTCCAGACTTCACCTAAGGACACCGCAAGCTTGATGGCGAAAAATTCCGAGAAAGACTTCCAGTCATTAAAGGCTATATGCTCCCTGTCTAAAATGTAATTTATTATAGCAGAATGACACAATAGAACAAAACGGTGAGTAACAACAAGTACTAGTAATGTTCCATGAGTTACTAGTGTATTATTTGCTAGCTCGCCACTGGCTTTATATGTTTCCCAGGTTCTATCGACAAGGTCAATGTACAATATTCAAGCTTTTTTCACCCTAAACCTAACTTCCTTGATATAGTGTTATCTAAAGAAGATGAAAAAACCTTGCATACACCAGTTCCATTAAAAATCATGTTCAAATGGCATTGTCTACACGTCCAGTACAACCGGGCAATGACATAACGCACTTTTTTATTCAATAATACAACAGAATAAATACTTACATCAGAATACATGAGATTCTCCATCTTAAGTTTGAGTGGGACTCTACCATTGCTGTCTCCGCAGAGAACAGCAGCCTTTGGTAGCCTCTCTACGTACACTTCTACTTTAGAGATGGGTGTATCGGTCGTGACTCGTAAATTGATTGTGGCCCCTTGGACACGCTGTTTCGATTTCTTGTTCTTTCGGCACTGGACCTTTTCGTAACACTTCTGCACGTTGAAAAAGACAACCTCTTCCGCATTGTTTGTCTGTATGCGCTGGAGAGGAGGGGGCATCTCGGCATAACGAGGTGGCTGTGGGCATGCTGCCCAGTTTAGGAAGCCGTTAGTCGGTAGGTCACTGTACCTTTCACAATCTTTGGACTTGGGTATTTGGAATGGTTTGATGTCCCTGAATGCATCCAGATCGTAGTCTACGAATGAAACAAATAATACATCAGCTAAGAACGCAACAAAGAAAATTCCTTTATTTAGCCCAGGTCATGAAGGAATTCTTACCCTGAGTACAAATGTTCGTGAATAATAAAAGAATCAAATCATGTAATTGATGTACGGATGATTAAGGAGGAATAGTTGAGACATTGTGAAAATTGAAGACTGAGAAGTACACGCCACGACGAGGTATGTTTGTTGTTGTTCAAAACGAATTTCGGGTTAAAAGTATTTTCAGCTGGAGTTATTCACTCTTTCATCCTTAAACGAAGAAAGCCTTGAACAAAAATTAAGTTAATTTAAGACTAAAGGAAAGTTATTAGAACAATTGCTTCACGAGAATGTTAATTAAATGCACTCTAAATAAATATGCTTAACTATAAACCAAGCAATAAAGTGTAGTGACCCTGGCAGCGAGCGCACCGTGCCATCCAGACTCACTTGTGTTTTTCTTAATACTGAGAAATGTCATGCGGTCCCCTTAGAACGTTTCCCTGCCACGAGCAACAGCTGTCTACTCAACCTGCAGACAACTCCTGTAAGTTCACAATGAAAAGATGCAGAATTGTTCTGTTGTCTACCTAGTAAGACACCTTTCCACGAATACCACCAGCAAAGAATATTAGCGTTAGTAACGCGAATGACAGGAAGTCTAAGAAAAGTCATTTGTGACGATTGTTTTGTTAACCGGAAAAACTGCAGGGTCACTTCCTGTTAGTTCTAAACTGATCTTCATTATTGGGCTCAAAAATATTCCAGATTCACTGCAAAAAGCACCGAAGGTTTTTCAAAAGTGGTAAAATAAAATTCACCCATTATGCAAAGAGCGTCAGCTAGAACTGAAGAAAAAAGGCTTAAACTTGGTGCTCAAAGAAGACAGGAAGTCGATTCAACCGGAAGCGTTGTCACGATTGTTATGTCATAGTTTCCGGGGAGTGCAATGAATACAAAGTGACATCAACGCTACAGGAAGAAATATCTAAACCAAGGAAAAATGGAATATCCATGGGAAGCACTGTTATTAAATATTGCTATGAACAAGGTATTCTGAGTAAAATACTTGAGCGGTATATTGAAGCTATTTGCTGAATAATAATCGGTAAAAGAATTAAAAGAGATTTCGGGTAGTTCAATCACATGTGTTTCTAGGAAATAATTGGTTACAACGGTCAAGCCATTCATATCTTAGGTTGAGCCATCCGTCAAAAATAATAAGGAACAATGGTTATTATTCTCATTACTTAAACCCTATGTTGCACTGGCTAAATCAGAAGTAAGCCACTTGCAACGCCGTTAAATATCATCAACAACAGGATGTTTCGATGATAGAAACTCTTTATAACTAGAGTGCCACTTCTACTGCGAACATTAAGTACCCCAGCCTCACACTCCTAACAAATTATCCCAACTCATTTCACGGCTCTTAGACAGTTCCTTCGTTAAGTTATTCCTTCTCTCAAACATAAAGTGATTGTATCCAACATTTCAACTTGATCGTCGATTTGCAGTAAAAACGCTCAAATAAAAGCGTATATGTTTCAGATAGTTGATAAGAAAAATGTAGGCTGCGGAAATAATTATACAGTATACCATGAAGAATTAATCGGACCTTAGACCTTCGGATTCCGCGCTCCGACATTCTACCTGTCTAGGCTTCAGAGAACTTTATGCTTGTATACTTATACGTTCATACGTGACACGCGCCTCGTATACTAACTGCAAGGATCAGCAAAGTCGAAAGAGTCATGCAAGCTATTATACAAACTGAAAATAACACTTAAGCTTTCACGTCCTAGAATACTGAAAATTACCTTCGTAACTAGCGCTATCTTTCGTTTCTGCCGCTCTCGCACTGATCGTTTGTGCAACTGTATTCTAGAATCGACTTAGAACTGAATTCTCCAAAAGAGTCTTCAGCCCACAGAATGTCTTCCCGTCGCCATTGTATTATTTTGAATAAAGGGGTAAGTTTCTAAAGAAACTGTGGTGCTTTTAATTTAGTGTTAACAACTGGGTTGAAAACGTAAATTAGCCACCGGTGGCTAAGCCCTTCGTCAGAGCGATTTTCAACCGTTTTCAACCCAGTTGTTAACACTAAATTACCTGTATTATTTTGAGTTAAATTATTCAAGCGTGGAGCGTGGCAAATTAACATGTCATGGGTAAAATAAGTCGTAATCGTTTTGAACAACGGCCACAATTTTCTTTTATCTTTCTCTTTGCACAAGCAAAATAAATTATTTTTTACAGGAACAGCTTGGCTTGATATAAAAAAAGCCTACCTCATTTCGTTTCAATTCAAGTGACGAATCATTTTAAGGTGACCGCAGATTTAAGGTGCTCGTTTTTCGCGCAGCCTAAGAGTGCGTGCAGGCCTATCTTAAGAACATTTTCCTGTCACACACAATAAAGTACTTAAGATAAAAGTATAAAGAAGAGTGATACGATCTTAGACTCCATCTGCAAGCGTTGGAGTGCGTATTGTAAGTCGTCGTCAGGAAGTGGTAAAACTGACTTAGAATAACAATAGGTTAACATGCGAGTAAGACGTTTAAGAAGGTCTGACTTTGTTATATATTAAATGTAATATTGATAGTTGGTTCTACTCAAAGACATAATTCCTTGTTCACTAAACCGTTGGCAAATCTTTGAAAACCTACTCGAAGACCTAAAAAAATGTTTCGTATCTTAAATAAATTGGTAGCTCGGTCTGCGGGGCTAATATCTCGCTGATTTAGTTTACTTTTGTCAGAGTTCCTGTTAAGCACGAACGGCAAACTTCCTTCAGCAATTGGGTAAAAAAAGAGTTTCTTTATACAATGGTTGTTTCAGTATTAGAACAGTATTGGGTATATCAGTTAATGCGCATGGCGATTTAATTAGAGCGAAAGAGGATTTCCTTTCGTCCTCTAGCAGATACGTTTCATAGTTTTCAGCAGCTTTAAAAATAAAGCAATGACGTATTTGTACAGAAATAAAACTTGAGCATTGCAAAGAATGATAATTTATACTGGTATAAAGAAAACCTCTACTTTGAAAAATATAAGCGCAATCGATAGTGAAAAAGATTTTTAAAACGCTCAAAGCCTCTTTCCTTTTCGTTATTTTTCCAAAGTATCCGTTTACTCTCAACTGCGTTCATCAGCAAAGTCATCCTCTCTTTAACTACTGGTCATTTCTTTGTAATTCAGTTGAGGGTATTTGGTGTTTCATAGAGAGCTTTTTTGTCCACACTTGTCGCCCTTTTGTGGGCAAATTGTGGTTCCATGTTGGTGGCTCGATTTTTTCCTTTACTTCCCTTAACAGCTTCACTTTCTCTTTCTCATCGCAAAACGGCCCTTTACTCTTTCATTCCCAAACTTTAACGCTTTCTTTTGAACCTTCCATTCTTAAATTTGAAACCATTTTCTTCATTATTTTCCACTGACAAGACAGAACAGTAGGTGTAACTATCTTTGTTATCAGTATAAGTCACGGGGCAGACACAATGTTTTTATTAACCCTAGTTGGACGAACTCGAATAGCTAATTAACACGTATCAAGCAAAGGAACCTTAACGTGATTTGAATACAAAAATTACGGACTGATGGTTTTTTTTTCTCAGAAAATCAAGGGAAAAGCACACCTATAGGATATGACGTAGTGGAACAGGAAATCATCCTACTTTCATCGCCTTAGTACGCGGAAGAAGTGTAACTCTTGGGTAAACAAAACCCTGAAGAGCCCCGGAAAAATTTTTGTTGATGGTTTAACAAGAAAATCCTATGATCCTTTAAGCACTAATAAGCTAATCAATCATGAAGAATGAGGACCAATCTCTAAACAAGGAAAAACGAGAAAAATCTGTTTGACAAACGAAATTTTTTGTTGTCTGACTGTGTCCTCGAGATTTCAGCTTTGTTCACAGTATCATTCACATTTGCTATCACTCTTATGTGGTCTGTCTTAAGCCAAACGTCTTAATAAGGGGTTACGATTTTTGCTGAAATAACGTTTGTAGCGTGCTGAGAAAAGCTTTATATCTGATTTCGTGGGATATCCTTAATGGCTGCGGTGCAAACAAGCGGAAAGAGCGGAATTCTATATCATTTGTTCGGTTACTGTGTAATGTTACATGAGAATCACGTCTTCATAAAAAAAAAAAATTATGGTGGTATCGCTTGAGAAATCAAAAAATTTTGAAACTATCGCCGAAGAACTTGTTGTAAAGGAATCTTAAAATCTGATATGGGTTGACAAACTAAAAGACACTGTATAATGTAACTAAACTTTTTTCAAACTACCTTAAATTTCATCTTGCCATAGAAAGATTTCCTTTAAAGGAAACGTTTTCATAGAGAGCCAAATATAAAAAAAAAAACATAACCCCTGATGTCACTGACCCACAGACGACAAAAGGTTGCCAATTTTCAAAGTTAGAGGGAATATGTATTCCCAATGTTGTATTTGCTTTTTTATTACTGATTAAAACGATACACAATCCCATAATTGTAAAAATGTTACAACGAAACGGCAGTAATCAACTCCAGTCAAGGTAAAAAATGCTGGCAACCAAGTTTTGCTCAGTTCAACGCCAAATCAAAGAAATTTGATTTTCAAGTTTGTTTTCAAGAAGGACTGATTAAAAATTATCAACTTACTTTGTAGGATATAATCTGCTGCCAACATTTACACTTACCATGGATGAAATATCTCTCCAGCTCTGCAAAGCTTAGAAAACCACCAAAGCATCCATCTTCTATCTCCATTTTTGTAATATATATAATTTTTTTTCAGCGAATTATAGAACGTGATTCAGATGCTCGGCTAACAGCCTTCAGATAAATGCTATCAACACTGCTAAAGTATTCTGTGACAGGCTTAAATGGAAGAATTTCAGAGAGAAAATCTGTGGGTCAACAGTAGTTTTCTCTGAAGCTTGCTACAGACTGAGGTTGTCGAATCAGTGATAGAGTTTGAGCGTATACGATCTTTTGCTAATTTATATCTTTAACCATTCATTTGATTGACAGCTTGTTTTGATATGTGATCAGTGAAGCAGGAAGCGAGAAATTTGAATAAGACGCCACGTGTCACTCATGTAACATAAAACAATCATGCCGTATGTCGTCCTGCAGTGCTTTACTTGACGCTATGACTTCCCAATAGTCTTCATGTAAAAAGATCTCCCTGAGCTCGCTCGCATTTCTCATGTAGATTTCATTTTAAAAATGTTTCGTATTCGAGCGAATTGCATTATGACCGGAAACGACAACGGGAAAATCATAAACAAAGCAGTTGTTTGCGTGACCGTGCCACATTTTCAAGGGTCAATGATTTTACTGTCTTTTGGATTATTGGGCTGCGCCTTCGGAAATACAATTTGCCATCCAAAGAAAGGCAGACGGGGAGCAAAACTTAACGAGACTCTGTGTATCGTCACGAAATTTTTTAATAGAATTACTTTCTCACTTTCGTTATCCCAATGTGTGACAACGAAAGTCCAAGCGAGTCCAATCATGACAAGTTGTGTTTGTGGAGAGCAATCTATGACGATTTCCTAACTTCAAGAGGCAATTGATCTCTATGTTCTGTCCGTCTGTATTCTCTCTCAAAATCGCCATGTTGAATGATATCGGAAAAGGAGCGGTAACGTATGACCGGAAACGCCAAGCGTGCACCAAATAAGGGATCATTTGGAAATCAGGGTGTGTGTGGATTTTGGCACAGTTCACCGTTCTCCTCCTGCAAATAAAAGTGTTTAACCCTCTTAAAATAAGCCAGATGTTGGTTTTACTTAACCCTGTTACTCTTCGAATTTAAGACAATCCTTTAAAAAAAGGTAAAAAGTTTCAAGAGACACTACAAAGCCCTAAACGCTGAACCGGAATATAAAAGTTTCGGTTTTCCCTCTTGTACCCAAGGTATAATCAACATATCACGCGTTAAAATCAATACAACAAAAACAAATGGATTGAAAATTTATCTCTATTGTGATATCAGTGGGCTGAGCCAGGTTCAAAGGCAGACTTAACCAGAGCCGACTGTGAACTTCCTTTCAGCCGTATAAGGAAAGATGAAATTGAATTGTAAACAGCATCTAAAAAAAAAATAACGTGATTGAAAAAAAAACACTTTTTCGGTATTTTATTTTACCTGTGAGGAGGTATACTAAAGCTACGGCAAGCAAAGCTGCAACACCGTTTCCGAAGTTAATTAGATCATCCACAGTGACGGGAAAGTTAACATGTAGAGTAAACTCATAATTAAACAATGCACTCGATATACCGTTGAGACGTAACTGCTTGGTTTCGTTTGCTCTCAGCACTGAAGTCTGTCCAAAATAGATAAAAGATCACTGAAGTCCGACTTGGTGCCAGAGTTAGCCAGAGTAAAAATTCTTGGTCATTAATTAATTTCACTCTCGTTTATTGCTGAGAATAACGTTATAGATATTAAAAACCCTTGAGCGTTGAACGGACGTACTCCACTTTTCAAACCACAAAATTTCAGTTTAACAAGGGCAGTGCTTGCAAAGAAAAGCGAAAAAGGCCACCTCGAATCGAACAGCCTGAATTTTCTTCGCCCAAAAAATGGCCAGCAGGGAGCCTCCGACAGGATGTAAACTTTCAGGATGCTAAGAGGCGCTTAATCATTACTTCCTCAATTTTGAGCTGAAACCGCCACGAGGTGCAAATCTCTTTTTTTCTTTTTTCGCTTCAAAAAAGAAACACTCTCCTGCTCGAACGATGATTAAACCAAGAATGAGATGCGCTGTTTCGTTCCTTGGACGTTGCTGAAAGTGTGGTTTTCTAAAACAAAAAACTACCTAATGCATTAAAATATTTTTGGACACGTCCGTTTATGAACGAGTTAAAAGAAGAGGGAATCATATCTGTTAAAAATTAAAAAAGGGAAAAAAAACTCAGGCTCCCTCTAAAATTTCATTACAGTTCAACAATAAAGGAGAATCGAGGAGTCGTAAAAGACCGCAACATGAGACTTTAGAGTATTAAGAAAAGAAAGAATTTTTTTTATTAAACAAATCAGAATGAGTAGGAATAGGTTAAGATTATTAATTCTTCTTTGAATGAAAACCATCAAACCGTAAAGATCTCAACAAACGGGTGTGTTCTTCACTGCTGTAATGCGTTGCTTTAGTAAAGTTCATGTGCATTAGGTCTGTGACTGTAAGTAACAACTAATTGATATATCAGTCATGTTTTGTGTTTGTCTTTCTGATCAGTTTACTCGCGTATCACTTTCATGTGTTTCCGAAATGGGACAGGGCATGTTAGATGACTATCAAATCATCACATTTACCGGCTGAGTTCGGAGGTCACCGTGAAGGAAGCGTCTCATGTGAAGCAAGAAGATAATATTACAATCGTTTCAGTTGCCATATTTGTTTTTACATCTTACAACCTCTGAACAAGTTACAAATACACATCTTGAAAATAAGGAAATTTTTCTGTCCCTGATCTCTTCACTTCTTAAGTTAAATAAAGCTATCCAAAGTTAGAGAAAACTTTACACAACCCAACTTTCGGTTCAATGCGACTAGTTGCAAGACTTGTTGAGCAGTGACCTAAACTGGTAATTATCTATCATCAGGCTACCTTTAGAGACGCGTCTCTGAAACAGAAATCAATTCGCGTAAGATAGCTGTCGGCACTTGGCGACGCACACCGATCCTCTCCCTCTCGTATTTATGGTTTTATTATTGATACACTAAACTGACAAAGACGTAAACTTATTATTTAATAATAACAAACACTCCCACAGCCTCTGTTTTTGTTTCTTCTTCCTTCTCTCGAAAATCTCGCTTTTCTTAATTTGCTTTTTATTTTAGGAAACCATTAAAAGAGAAACATATATACACTTTTGCACACCTGAGTCAAGCACTATTGTGTATAAATAATTTTCGTCGTTTTTTTGTTCGATAAACTTCTGGTGGAAGATTCATCCTTTAGTAAGTGATAAATTATACACTAAGTAACACATACGAGCAGAAAGCCGAAACAGAGACCTTCCAATCAAAAAGAGAATAGGAAGCGGTGGCTGCGCACATTCACGAGATCTCACGTCCGAAGTCAAATATAGGGACTGGTTAAGTAGGATATCGGTCTAAATTCACATGCCTCCATGCAGGTAAGATTTCACGATCAAATCGTGAACTACACTCTTCGCGTCACGTTCATGTTAGTCTCATCATCCCGAACTGTCTGAGCTGCACTCAGGATTCAGTGTAGTTAGGACTCAGTTAAACCTTCATTTGCTACTGTTCATTTAAGATTCGAGAGCAATTCTTCTTAATGCTCGAGCGTCCTTTTGAGATGTTTTTGTCAAGGTCTGACTTGTATACATTTTGAAATTTGTGAGGCTAAGGACGCCTACCATCTCTCCCCCGCTGATCTGCTGGAGGACCACGTGGACACATATTGCTTTTTCAAAGTGAAATGCTGTTAAGTCCCAAACGATATGACTCATAATTGCAAAATTATCAACATTACAGGAATAATTTGTTTCTAGAGAAAGTAATGTCCCAATATTTTCCCTCGTTTTGTTTCTAATCGCAAGAGTAACAAATTGATGAGGTTTAGAAAATATTTGGCACATGTTCATCTTCAGTATTTATGTGAATAATCTTTCCTGTTTCTCCAATTTTGGCTAAAACATACCACTCGTCCGAAAGGAAGTCGTTCAATTCATTTCCAATCTAGGATTCTTTTTTCTCCATTTATTACCCAGAGATCATTTACTGCATTACCGCAGAGCCACAGAAAATAACTTCGACAGGCGAGCATAACTGCATTACCTGAAAAAAATCTTAGTCGACATAAATTATTGAGCGGACAGATAGGAAGCATTACGTGAGAAGATTCAGGGAAACGGAACCATTTCAATGACATGTTCTTGTCACTTTTTTGATGTCAAATATCAATCCCTGTGGTTAATTAAAGGTTTTGAATGAGACAGACCGTCGACGGTTGTCTGCCTTCGGTCGTTAACGGATGGCGAAGTTAGGTCATATTCGATATGCAACATTCTGTTCATAGGACTTTTGATAAATTCATGTATAAGTATGAAGGGGGTAAGTTTTTTAAGGAAACTGTGGTGCTGTCTTGGTGAATCATTCGAAGCATTCGCCTTGACGAAGTGCTAACGCTCGAAACGTAAGCTTTGAAACTTTTACGGTGGCCAATTTACATCATTAACTCAGTTAGTAAAACCAAATGATCTGTGGGCATGTTAAAGTATAGCTGGATATACAACTGCACTTTGAGGATAAAATTGCAGTCGCTATGGATAACGATTGATAAACGGTTCTCTAAATAAATCACTCTGTAAACCAATGCTCTCAGCTCCGTCTGTCAGTTTCCTTTGACATTACAATGGACCTAAGACGTCAAATTGAACCAAGTATCAACCGATACCAATTTCGAAATTTGCAACTTTAATTAAAGTTTTTATAAAATAAGAAACATACCATCGAATGGAAACACATAGTACTGGGCAACCTGAATTGGGAGATGTCTCCTATGTCATGACACTAAACACTGGTAAAATATCGCATAAAGAACATAAATGGAACAATAATAAGACCATTACGAATGGCAGAACAGCATTCAAGTGGACAGAAAATGACGAATTTAATTTGTAGCTTCTTCAAGACTCTAAAAGCTAAGGCGTACCTCCTATCATTAAAATGTTTATTTAATTTGCGGTTTAACTTCATAAATGTTGAAGTTCAGGATTAACAATACAAGCCCTTTTATTTCGCACTAAACTTTAGTTTACAGGTTTGCTGTGCACTTCGAGGTTTAAGATTGTCTCAGCAATAAGTTCACATGATAAGTATACTTTGTCGCGCTGGAATACTGTCGTGTTGAGGCGAGGTTGCGGGATGATAACGAAAGCAAAGTAGTCTTAACGAGGTCACGTGACTTGCTCAAAAGAG